AGCGGGTGAAATTCGACTCCAACAATAGTGACCTTACAAGAAAACATACCTAAGAACCAAAGGAGGATTCTAGAGAGTTGATTTGTGGATATAATATCTTTGCACTTTCTGACCAATTTGAACATCTCAGAAACACAATGCCATCCTTTTTTATGTTTTCAGCCTAACATAACACCAAGATCAGGAATGGCTTCCATAATCCAAATTTGCAACGCATATGTGAAACTATGCACATGATAGCTCAAAAGATGCGTTAATTTTACCCTCGCTGCCTTGATCGATGTCACAAGATGATCATATAAGTCCAAACCCCATGGATAAGCCTATAGCTTCCTAATGTCCATCACATGTTTGATGTATGAGTGTGGTATAGCAACCTTCTCATCATTCACAACTAACAAACTCCCAATAACACACAAGTACACCAAGCGCACTCTGTTCACACAAGTCCAGTTGTGATATTCCAGCATGTGTTTCTTCTTTATCGACTGTAAGCAAATAGTTTTCCTACTCCTTAGCAACCTACTCCATAAACCATCATCATCTATCCATTCTTCAATGTTCAAGTTGTCCGACTTCATGAAATTGAACCCAGTCATAGCGTAAAACTCTTGAAGAGAAACCGAAGAGACCTCCTAGCAAACACAAACCATAGCTAATGCAGTTTTGTAGTATCCAGCTGGTTACACATGAAGCTGTGTACCAATTTACCTGAGTATCCTAGAGAATGTTCATGTATTGCCAGAATATGCGCAAAGACCGGATCTTGCTTCACTTCCTCATACTCAATTGGCATCCGAGCCTTTAGTTTTTTCATAAGGGAAGTTTTGCAGCTGTTGTTGATCTTCGCAACTTCTGGTTCTTCGTTTTCCCTAAAAAATCTCTTTGGCAAATCCAAATTCATAACTACAAAGAATCAAGAGCAATTGCAAACAAGAAAATATCAGAACTTGGATAACTGTTTAGTTCAACTATAACACATAATGCATACAAGTTTATCTCAACACAGTAAAACAAGGAACATCCAAATCAAGTAGGTAACCAATACATCAAATATAATCACATAATCCAAGTGACATAAGAAGTTCATTAGCATTATAAATCTACTGCGTTTTACTTAATTTCGGGTCTTCACTTTTCATAATCCAAGTGAATTTCAACTCAAGTAATAAAGAGAAAACGATTTATTTACATTAAACTCATCTTCTAGTGTTTGTACCAAATATGATTTTGTGTGAAACTTCACTAAAATTGAAATCAAATTGTGGTAGGTGAACACAAGTTATATTAATATGTAATCAGTTTCTCTATGAGAAAAGAACATACCTAATGAATCGATTGCAGAGGAGAACACGATTGAGAAGAAGACTTCGTTCTCTTTCACGGCAGAGAACGACTACAAAGACGACGGACACAGTCGCCGATTAAAGCGGATGAAGACGATGGTTAGGGCTTCTAATTCGCTGGCAGCTTAAAAGGAGAACATGAAGTC